CCCCAAAACCCCAAAACCCCAAAACCCCAGAGTGCATATATTATTGAATAAAAAGTGATTAAATTTATACTTATAATATATTGTCATAATTTTAAACTGACTTCGTAAAAAGTAAAATAATAGAATATTACTAAAATTTAAAGGGCTTAAAAAAAATGAATTAGTTTGGATAGAGTGATGCAGAAAAAGGTTTATACATGATTTAGCACAGGAAGAAAGAGGTAAATTTAACTTGAATAATGAAGCAATTAAATACCTTTATAGTAACTAAATGAGATGGAGTTGAATGAGTTGCAAGAAGAGTCCCTTAAAATATAAAGACTCTTAAAGCGACTTAAAGGCATTGTTAACTTAACACTGGGTTAAGCAATAGACGAAGAAAATGGCTATACAAAATATGACTTACCTGATAAGCTTTAAGATCTTCCTGATGGCGAAAGTATGTCTCATAAAGTGTAAAATTTTGGTTATTTTACTTTAAAGACCGTCATCCTAGTATTTTAGAAATCTAAAACTAATGACAGACTATCACAATCTGGTTTAGGAGTAGATTGAAAATAGAAAAGTAGCTTAGAAGATTATGAAAACGCCGAGTGTGTATGTAATCTTAGTAATCCAGTTTAAAACTATTTTAACCTTTAGATCAGTTAAGTTACCCATAATAAAGCAACCCAAGCAACCTCCTTTGCATGATTACAAGGAACATCAGGGGTCAGTTCATGGAAATAAAACTGAATCGATACGATCAATGAGAAGTTTAAACAGAACATTGGATGACATTGGATTCCTGCCCTAGCCCATTCAGTCTAATAGGATTAGAGTGAATTTCAGTGCTGACCGAAATCTCTAAGGAGGCTGGAATCATGACCCTAGTTCATAGATCTATCAGATGATATACAAGAACGAGATTTAAAGACTGGAGTCTATCAAGGAGGATGAAAAGGGATAGCCTATACCTGCTTCAGAGTATCAGAGAATACTCAGAACTATAAAGTCAGATAACAAGGGGGATAAACTGAGTGACAAGAAATCCTACCAGGACTATAAGTCTTCTCTGCACTTTAATACACAATATCCAGGAGATTCTAAACTCTCAAAGTACCCGTTAAGCTTAGCTGAGGAAGAATAAGAGGAAATATAATCGTTTAATTAGATAGACCTGCCTTTAAGATTAACAAAAGAAGGTCAATGATACCAATAAAAGAGTAATAGCTTACTTATCAATGATCCAATAAAGCAATCCTCTAGATTTTTACCCTTTCCAGTAGAGCCTCCTGTAAGTATGAAACAAAGATTATTAGACAACGAGTACAAGACTTTAAACTTGCCAGAAATCAATAAATAAGTCTAGGATTTTTACAAGAACGATTTGCTAAAACCTAGAGTTTATAATGAACGCAATCAATATCACTTGGAAAAGTATTAAGTGATCTTGCAAGATAGCCAGAATACTCAGTAAGAGGGGACTAGTCTTATCTAGGAATAGAAATTTAACAATGTAAAATATCAAATGATGTAGGATCAGATAATAAGTAAGAATAACGAGTTGCCAGCATAGTAAGAGTATTTGAAGAAGTTGATGTATAACATATTTTACACAGATGAAGCCTTGGCTTAGTAGTAGAAACCTATAGTTATGGACATCCATTAGAAAAAGATAATGCTGAATCCAGCTAATCTATAAGAGGCACATCCAGTATTTTCTAAGCTGAAGACTAAAACATTAGAGTTGCTGTTTGAGGAGACTGGGGATTTAGTCAGGATGAAAAATAGCTAAATACTGTATAACGAAGGGGACATGTAAGTATATTAGGAATCAAGTATAATCACAATATTTAGAGCAAAGAGCAGTTTCATAATGATATCGGGTAGGTTGCAGCTATGGAATATGATGCAGGGTAAATTCGGTTAAGTATCAGGCGGAGATACTTTGGGTGAAGAAGGACTATTAGATGAGAAATAAGTTGGCGATAACACATATGATGCAATTAGACTAGAAAATGCTGAGGCAATGGAGGAAACATTCTTGTTTGAGATAAAAAGAGATAAGTGGAAGTAAATGAAGGACTTACTTGGCAGACTTAAACTTCAAATTGATTTCTTCACTATGACCAATATATTAAAGAAGAATCTGACTTAAAAAAGAGGTTGGAGAATATTTAATCATGGCAGTGTTTTACTATGATTAGGCTTTTGTATTGAGTATATACTTGTGATATTTATTACGATGTATTTATTAGAGTAATAAACAGAATTAATTTTAGATAGAGGGGTTTTGGGGTTTTGGGGTTTTGGGG